TACATCTTTTTAATTTTTAACACTATGTATTATAAATAGTATATAATTATAACCTAAATTTTTTATTTTTTTTCACTTTTCGCATTAGCTTATATGAATGATGAGTTTACCCAAAAAAAATTAAAATGATGTAACTTACCTACTTTAAAAGGACAAATGATTTTTCCTTAATTAAATTTCGTTAATTTCTTGCTTTTTTGTTTTTTAAGAAGTGTTTTGTTATGTGATAGAAAAACATATCATCAAACAGTTTTCTAATAAAAAATAAAATCATACTAACTGATGCATATTAAGTGGGGAATAAATTAAAATATTGTTATTTTAATAACTAATTACAAAAATATAACAGCTTAGAATTAATTTATGGATCTATTGTATTCAATCTCGCCCAAAATAGACATGACCACTCTTGTCCAATTTGAGCGAATTACACTCACCAATCTCGCCTAAAAAATACGAGACCACTCTCATTTCATTTAGGCAAGAGTCCGCACTGCTAAAAGTCTTATTCCTTTACGAATGCTTGTCTATATATGTACTTTTTAATTGGGCGTGTCCTTCTCTTTCAGCTTTCGATTTTCACAATTAAGTGACTACTCCATCCATTTGTTTTTCTCATCCATGTCTCCATTACCACCTAATCCATTTACCTTAGCCACTTACTCCTTCATAGACCAGGGAGAAAGGTGCAGGGCGGGTTGATTTTCTTATTGACTAAGAATGGATAGTGGCTCTAAAGCACATCTCTAAAAAAGCAAATGAGTGTGCTAACTGGCAAGCCAAGTCCTCCGTACAATGTACTTTCGGTCTCCAATATTATCATATTATGCCTGAAGACTTAATACCCTTATTTAAGTTAGATCTCCAGGGAACAACCCATTGCATAGTTGTTGATCCTGGCTAGTTTGAGTTTTTAATTTTCTGTTTGTCATAGTGTTTTGTTTATTTCTGTTTTTTTTCTTGGGACTTTGCCTCTTTCTGATATCAAAAAAAAAAAAACAAAAAACAACAACATATTATTAAGGGAGTATTATTTTTGCGGTTGCCACATGCGCAATGAAAGATGAGAGATAATATTTTGATGAAATAAAAATGAATGCTTTGAGAGAAAATATTTTTTTATGTCTGTGGAAATATTTCTGCCACGTCTGTAGAAATTAATAATACTCCCTATTATTAAATATAAATGCATTTTTTTAAATAGACAGTATATCAAAATTGAATTTATACAGAAGTGAGTAATTTACTTTGCAAGAACTCCAAAATATTTTGGATGGGCTTAAGTAGGTCTGATTACATGAAGGTGCTAAATGGAGAAATTAAGCCTTGATGTCTTTTTTATTTTGGTTAAAAAATAAAGTGGCCTAGGAACAAATTAGAACATAGGACAACATTTTTTGGGCTTAATGATCCTGGTAACCTTACATCATCAACTATTTGTCCAATTCATGCAGATCAAGCAGGACCCATGGGTTTTTAGTGGGCTTATTGTGCAGTACGTTGCATCAAAATCATAGGAACTGGACTCCGCATTCCAAATCCAGCCCATACTATACTATCTTGGTGCATGATGTTTGATCACGAACGCAAATGTTTGAATTTCAAGGGTCGCTGACGAATTGTTGCAATGGGCCTCACCGTCTACGATGGATGTGAGACTGCATCCATGTTCGTAATTACACAGGAGCATGTGATGCAAGTATACGTAACTTATAAAATGTTCATATATAGTTACCAAAAAGGAAAAAAATAAATATATATATAACATGGGTGTAACATAACTTGGGTGTCACAATATCCTATCCCTATATATATATATAAAAGTTAAGGAAAAAATGTTTGTCCTTATAAATGACACAACTTATATCATTTCAATCTCACAAAGAGGTGGGATCCACACTTTTATATTTTTTTTGTTCACTCTCTCTCCTCCTTTATTTATCTCTTCCTCTTACTTAAAATGACATAATTTTTTTTTTTTTTATAACAAAAATGACATAATTTTACATCATTCAAATGATACACATTTTTCTCATAAGTTAAAAATTAATATTTTTTCTGCACACATATAAAAGTGATGGGACACATGTAAGAGTGGAATAACCCCAGAAAAGTAAACCTATAAAGTTATCATTATTATATTTTCAAGTTTTTTTATTCATCATTTCAATAATAATAATAATAATAGAGAGAGAGAGAGAGTTGATGATATAAATACAAAGGCAGTTGTTATGTGAAACGTTGAAATGATGACATGCATAAAATTTGAATATGGAATAATTTGAATTTTATATATTAATTCGAGGCAATCATGAATTGTATCATGCTGCAAAAATATCTATCTTATGTGATACTTTAACACAGTTTTTAGGTTTATTGACCAAAATAATTATAAATTAAAATTATTTATCAATTTACTACCATTTCAAAATTATTTATCAATCTAATCTAATTTGATCATGTTTAACCAGTCTCACCAACAACACACACTTTACAATCCCATTTGTCCTAGGATCATTAATTCGAGTGAATCAATCTAGTGAGTTGTCTTAATTGCAAAACTCAATCCCTTTTGATTCAAATCAATTATTAGTATCATGTATATATGTAATTGGACTTAAGATGAAACTTTGTATCTACCAAAACAAAAAAAGATGAATCTTTGTGGGTTCACATGTCAAAATAATAGCAAGCAATACTGCTGAAACTACCAAAAGAAAAGGAAAGTCAAAATAGGAGTATAGTGGAAACTAGCTAATATAGTATTGGAGAAATGCTATTAATGTCAGAAAAATGTGATTCTCATGTTATTTTTCTATATGCAACTTTAAACTTGAATTTATTACACATAAATGTAAATTTTATTGAAACCCCTAAAAAAAGCTTTTTCTTTTTTCAAAAATTGTTGGACCACTGGATTTTTCATCGTATAAATCTTAAAAAGTCACTCAAAATGAAAAAAGTACCTAATTCAAATGACCGAACAAAAAGTTATGTCTTTTCAAAGTTTTCACTAATTTTTATGTCCCTCAAAATTGGATGAGTAGTGCTTTGACATGTTTTGAACCCATAAAAACTCAGCCTAAGTCCTAATACATGGGTACATGATATTGGAGATTGATTTGAATTAAAAAAGATCATTTTATATGTTGTATGTCGTAGGCCATTGGGCCGTGTGATATGTATGATATGATTATAGTTATGTTATTGTCATTTTATAACTGAGTGAGCCATTGGGCGGAGTGATCCTCCAGAACCTTTGGGTTACTGAGATATATTCCTATATCTCACCCTGCGTCATGAGGCTATGATTCAAGTGGATGTAGCGGTGCCAGAGTTGGCAAGAGGCCCACAGGTTGAGGATGAGGAAAGCATGCATGTTGGGTGCACCATGATGATATATTCCATTTTGCATTTTGGGATTTATTTGACACGCTAGACTTAGACCATGAACATATATATTGCATGAGTGATGTATACCATGCCTTTTGTTGTTCATGTTGTATTTTGGCTAAGTCTAGTGGTTATGTAATTATTGTGTTTGGAGCATTTTGATTAGTAGTTATATTTGGTATTGGATAAATGTCATTAAAGAATTATGGATCTTGTGTAAATTAATGAAGTATGTATGTGATGGAAGGGTAATAGGTCTGTTTTAGGTTATTATGTTATTCAAATCGATAAATGCATGCAATTGAATCATGTGATTGAAATGAGTATCAAAATGGTTTAATGACTAAGTGTTGAACTAATCAAAGAAATGATGCAAATGTGTTGTGGGTTGTGTTCCGGGTTTATATGCTCGGGTATCGTTAGCCAAGGAACTCGACTAAGTAAACCCGGAAGACTTTTACCCGAATAGTTGGTCAGTTACCCTATGTATGGGTACTGGAGGTGGGGGCCTACCACGATTACACGATGGTATCCACCATCACCCACGTTCAACATAACTACCTAAACCAGATATATATATATATAGAACATTTATAGTTTAGGAAGCAGACACTAAGAACAAAGAGAACCAATATTGATGTTCATCCTGAACATTTGGCGCCGTCTGTGGGAAAAGGTAAAGTTATTCCTACGCATTTTCTTGGGTTATGGCAAGCCAAAACCATGATGAGCGAGGGATGGAAGATGAAGGAAACAGAGGGGAAGAAGATTCCTTTAGATCCAGTGGAAGGAGTCGATCTTTAGATACAATTGGAGAAGCTTTAATTCAGTTGGTGGAGGAGATAAGGAACATACAACATCAATAAGGAGGAAGAGGGAGGCAACATTCAGAAGAGAAACCACTTGTGGGAAACATGCCACAAAGCAGGGACAGGAGGAGAGGTTCTGTATCTCCCCTTCCCAGTTATATTCCATTGTCGCCTCCAACTGAGATGGAGAATCGGAGAACAGAAGTCTGAAGAGGTCAAGTATCTCAAATATCAAGAAGCTTTTTGGAGTGGAGGAATTATCAAGGTGGGAGACGAGGAGTAAGTCAGATGATAGAAGAGGAGGCTTATGAAGCAAATGCTCGGGAGGCTGGAAGAGATCGGCCGTATCAGGAAGAGAATGATGAATAACCCCGTTGGGAACAATGAGAGAATGAGCAACGACAGGCAAGTCGTCATTATTACACTCACCCCGAAGAGCAAGGGCGAGATCCGAGACGATATGAAGAAGTTAGAAGAAGGACGGATGGAGAAAGACGGTATTCCTATTATAGAGGCGACTTCCCACGTGAGGAAGACAACTATTATTACGTATCAGAAGACCAAGCTCGGAGAGGAGGACGACAACAAGCAGAGAATTATGGTCCTCGATATTATGAAGGACAAATGATGAGACAAGAAGGACTAGGATGGAACGAGCAGCCTGGAGGACCACCACAATAAACGCAGACTCAACAGGGGATTCCTGTACAGCCTATTAGTCAGGAGCCTTCAGGGACCCCTTTAACTTGGAGATTGAGGGCGGAGCCAATTCCGACTTGGTTCAAACAGCCAAATGATATGAAGGCTTATGACGGAAGCTCAGATCCAAAGGAGTTCGTAACAGTTTTTCGAGCGGCAATGTCATTGTGTGGAGAATCAGATTTGTTGTTATGTCAGACATTTCCAGTTTTTCTGAGGAAGCAGGCGTTAGAATGGTTTACGACTTTGCCAGTCAACTCCATTGACAGTTGGTCGGAGCTGTCTCTTAGGTTTATACAACAGTTTGCCCATTGTGGACCCCTGCCCAAAACCACACACAATTTGTGTGGAGTAAGACAAAAGCCGGGAGAAAAGGTGAGAGAGTATTACGAACGATTTCAAGCAGAAGCTAGGCAAGTGAAGGGGCTAGAGAATCAGACGTATTTGTTGTTATTTACCACCGGGTTACAGCCTGGCGGGTTGGCAGATTCGTTGGCAAAAAAAGGTCCGGCTACAAAAGAAGATTTAATGGAAAGGATTCAGAAGTATATTGATCTGGAAGAATTTAAATCTTCTCAAAAGCAAATTGAACAAGGTTTCAGAGAAGCTACATTTAAGAGGCCCGACAAGCCTGCAGGGGGAGGACAGTTTGAAGAAAGACGACCTCGAACGGTTGGAGAAAGATTTAGGGAAGCATACAAGAGGGAGTTCACACCATTAAATACGTCCAGAGCCTAGATACTAAAGGAGGTGATGTCTACGAAAATGCGAAATGTTCCTAGACCGACACCGATTTGATCAAGTTACGCCCAGGCAGACAAGACAAAGTGGTGTGAGTTTCATCGGGGGTATGGACACTTTACAAATGATTGTTTTAACCTGCAGAATGTTATTGAGAGGCTGATTAAAGAAGGGAAGTTACAGAAGTATGTGAGAAGGGGAGAAGGAGAAGGTTGTAAGGAAGATAAGTATAGGCGACTAGAACGTAGTCGCAGCCCGCCTGGAAGAAGGAATAGAGAGGTTAGCGGAAACCAAAAGGTAGAAGTGCAAGCATCTTCGAGTCAGGTTCCGGTGGGGCATATTTGCACTATAGCCGGAGGACGAGCAGGAGGAGAAGAATCAGGTAATGCCAGAAAAAAGCATTTGAAGATGTGCATGGCTATTTCTGAGAAACCGCGTTTTAAAGAAGAAAGAAGGAAGACGGGTAGGCAAGTAGTGTTCGAAGAATTGGATGATGAAATATTGGATCCAGAGCATGATGATCCTTTGGTTATCTCGGGTTTGCTAGCAAACTACCGAGTCGATAAAATGTTAGTAGATCCTGAGAGCTCGGTGGACATTATCTTTTGGGATGCTTTCAGAAGGATGGATTTGGATTGTGACCAGTTAGAACCATGCAGAGCTGATTTTTAGCGTTCACAGGAGATAAGATTAAGCCATTGGGGTACATCCCATTGAGGTTAACTTTGAGGAAGGCACCTATGCATAAAACAGTTACCTTGTCATTTGCAGTGGTAGATTTGGGTTCAACTTACAATATTACTTAGGGAAGACCATTCATGAAGAAGTTTAAGATCTTTTTGTCGATAGATCAATTGGCTATGAGGTTTGTGGCTAAAGATGACAACGTGGCTACAGTAAGGGCGGATCAAGTGGTTGCTCGGAGTTGTTACAATATGAGTTTGCGAATTGGACAAGAGCGTAAGAAAGCAAAAATGGTTGCAGAGGAAGAAGAAAACGAGAAGGTGGAAATACAAGTACGAAAGGAAGAGAAGAAAGAAGAACGGGTAATGGTAGTAGGAATGGATCCCCGAGCTGAGGATATAGAAGATAGGCCGGAACCCGCTGGGGCCATTGAGGTAGTTCAGTTAGGGAAATCTTGTGAACAATTTACTAAAGTAGGTTCCGAGTTGGAGACGGAGGTAGCAGTGAGTTTAAAAAGGTTGTTGCAAGACAATGCAGATCTTTTTGCGTGGAAACCATCTGATATGCTCGGAATGGACCCGACCTTGTCTTGTCATCGACCAGCGGTAATGCCAGGGGCTAAGCCGGTAGTACAAAAGAAAAGGAGGTTTTGCTCGGAAAGGAGGAAGGCAATAGAAGAAAATACTAAGGAATTATTAGAAGCAGGGTTTATTAGGGAGATAGAATATGCTACATGGTTAGCCATCCCGGTATTAATTAGAAAGGCAGATTGGAGATGGAGGATGTGCATAGACTATACAGATTTGAATAAAGTTTGTCCTAAAGACCCATTTCCACTGCCGAGCATTGATCAGTTGGTAGATAGGGCTTCCGGGTATAAAGTATTGTCATTTATGGATGCATATTCCGGGTATAATCAGATACCCTTGTGGAAGGAAGATCAGGAGAAAACAACATTTGTCATGGAAAACGCTGTGTACTGTTACAATGTGATGCCGTTTGGGCTGAAGAATGCAGGAGCAACGTATATGCGAATGATTAACAAAGTGTTTAAGGAGCAAATGGGCAGAATGTTGGAAGTATACATGGATGATATGATTGTGAAGTCGGAGGATGCTAAGAAGCATTTGGAGGACTTACAGGAAGTCTTTGAGCAAGTCAGGAAACATAATATGCGTTTAAATCCAAGCAAGTGTGCTTTTGGAGTTCCAGCTGGTAAGTTTTTGGGTTTTCTTTTAACATAAAGGGGGATTGAAGCCAATCCAGATAGATGTAAAGCTGTAATGGAAATGAAGAGCCCAGAGAATGTTAGAGACGTCCAGAAACTTAATGGACGGGTAACGGCTTTATCCAGATTCTTAGCAAAATCAGCACATGTCTCATTGCCGTTATTTCAATTGCTCAAGAAAGGTTGTGATTTTGTATGGTCGGAGGAGTGAGAAGCTGATTTTCAACACTTCAAGAAAATCTTAGCATCACCACCAATTCTCAGCAAGTCGGAGTCAGGCGAGTTGTTGTTCTTATATTTATCTGTTTCGCAGGAAGCCGTAAGTTCAGTACTCGTCCGAGAAGAAAGTAATGGAGTGCAGAAACCGGTATACTTCATAAGTAAGGTATTGCAAGGAGCAGAAGTGAGATATCAGCATGTGGAAAAAGTCACTGTTAATTACAGCAAAGAGGCTCCGTCAATATTTCCAGTGCCATCAAATAATAGTGAGAACAAATCAGCCAATTAAGCAGATGTTGCACAAGCCGGATCTCGCAGGACGGATGGTGGCATGGGCAGTAGAGCTATCCGAATTTGGTATTATCTTCGAAGCACGTAAGGCGATCAAGGCACAAACATTGGCAGACTTTGTAGTAGAGATGACACATCCCAGAAGTGACTTGGAAAATAGCTGGTGGAAGTTGTTTGTAGATGGGTCATCCAACATGAGGGGCAGTGGTGTAGGAATTATTATTGAGAACCCGGAAGGGGTGGCAGTAGAGCACTCGTTGACGTTGGAATTTCCCACTAGCAACAATCAAGCTGAATATGAGGCAATGATCGCCGGGTTAATTTATGCCAAAGAGCTCGGAGCGGAATATCTGGTAGTATATAGTGACTCGCAATTGGCGACTTCACAAGTTAGCGGGGTGTATCAGGCTAGAGGAGAGATCATGATCAAGTACTTGTCAAAGGTGCAAGAATTGATAGGACAATTTAAAGAAGTCCGAGTAGAACATATTCGGAGGAATGATAATATACGAGTAGATGTCTTGTCTAAACTGGCGAGTACAAAAACCACAAGAAGTTTGAGGACAATCATACAACAGAGTGTTGAGGCTCCGAGTGTGGTATGGATGATACAGGAGGTAGATTGGAGAAGCCCAATTCAAGATTTTTTAGAAAAAGGAAAGGAGCTCGGAGATCAAAGAGAAGCTGTTAAACTAAGGAGAAGAGCAACATGGTTCGTGATAATAGAGGGGCAATTGTATAGAAGAGGCATGAAGTCGCCTTTGTTGAAGTGTATAGCCGCTCCAAATACTGAGTATGTACTAGAAGAAATACATGAAGGTATTACTGGGCATCATCTTGGGGGGAAATCCTTAGCAAGAAAAGCTATACGAGCAGGGTATTTCTGGACGACAATTGGGGAAGACGCTAAAAAACACGTGCGAAGATGTGAACAATGTAAGAAGTTTTCCAGCATATACAAGGCTCCTACAGAGGAGTTATTCATAATTTCATCCCCTTGGCCATTCTTTAAATGGGGAATGGACCTTTTAGGCCCGTTTCCCAAAGCAGCCGGAGGAGTTAAGTATTTGATAGTGGCCGCTGACTACTTTACAAAGTGGATAGAGGCTGAACCTCTTGCAACGATTACTGCTCGGAAGGTCCAGAAGTTCTTCATCAGTAAAATAGTTTGCAGATTTGGTATTCCGGCTATAGTCATCACAGACAATGGGACACAGTTCATGGACAAAAAATTTGGTATTGTGGGAGTGAAGCATAAGTTTTCAACTGTTGAACACCCATAAATGAACGGGCAGGTAGAATCTGCGAACAAGATATTGACAAATGGGCTGAAAAGAAGAGTAGAGAATTGTAAATGAAGCTGGGTGGAAGAGTTAGACAACGTGTTATGGGGATATAGAACTTCAGTGCAGTCTAGTATTCAAGAAACCCCATTCAAGATTACATACGGGTTTGATGCAATGCTTTCGGTAGAAGTCGGAGAGCCATCGTGGAGAAGAAAGCTAATATCTGAAGAAAGAAAAGAAGAGAACAATGAAATGATGAAGATTGATTTGCAGTTGTTAGAAGAAGAACGAGAGAAAACAGCATTAGTGGAAATGGCGTCCAAGCAGCGAGCAGCAACGAGGTACAATCGGAACGTAGTTAAAAGAACATTCCAAGTAGGATATTTGGTGCTCAGGCGGGCAGATGTGGGGAATAAAAATGCAAGAGATGGAAAAATGGCAGCTAATTGGGAAGGCCCGTACCGGATAACATTGGCCACAAGGACAGGGGCGTATCAGATAGAGCACTTGGATGGAAAACCAATTCCACGATATTGGAATGCTGCCAAGTTAAAAAGGTATTTTAGTTGAAGAAACCAAGATTTAGTAGGAAGTCGGATGGCAAGTTATTGACTTTAATTAAGTTGCAGTTTAATATTAGTATTAGGAAGATTATGTTTTCAATTTAGTAGGTAGTGTTTTGTTTAGGAAGATTATGTATTGAAGTTATTTTGCGTTCAAGTGTAGTGAATTTGAATTTATTATGAGGAACAATGTTTCAATTCAATAAAGCCAGTTCGACAATACTGAGTATTAAAGAGGAAAACAAAGTCCCTTGTCTTCTTAATTGGCCTCTTGGGCACCCGTCCAATTCTTACTCGGAAACGGGAAAACAAAGTCCCTTGCCGCCTTAATTGGCCTCTTGGGCACCCGTCCAATTCTTACTCAGAAACTGGAAAACAAAGTCTCTTGCCGCCTTAATTGGCCTCTTGGACACCCGTCCAATTCCTGCTCGGTAACGGGAAAACAAAGTCCATTGCCGCCTTAATTGGCCTCTTGGGAACCCGTTCAATTCCTACTCGGAAACGGGAAAGCAAAGTCCCTTGCCGTTTTAATTGGCCTCTTAGACACCCGTTTAATTCCTACTCGAAAACGGGAAAACAAAGTCTCTTGCTGCCTTAATTGGCTTCTTGGGCACTCGTTCAATTCCTACTCGGGGATGAGAAAAATTGGTAATCATTGGATAACTTCAAATCATTTGAAATTTCCTCGTAAGCATAAGATTACGAGTTAATTTTACTGAGGAATAAGTGCATCAATAAATATTGAAATAACATAGTCATTCAGTTGAAAAGAAAAAAACTGATGGTAATATTTGATTGTTAAAAGTTCCAAATGCCAGATAAACGGATAGTTCAAGGTACAAAATAAGGAGTCATTACAGAGGAAAGAAAACTGAATACAAAATAAAGTGGCATTCCACTCCTTCAAGGGTCTTTTGGAACACCATCAGAGGCAGCATGGTCAGAAGCCGGGCTAGACTCCATATAGCCGAAGGGGCAGTCAGCAAGCACAGTAACATAACCTTTTTCATCATGAGTGCATAGTCGCCCATTCTGTATAAAGTTGAAGGTTTCAATTTTTTCTAAGAGAGGTAAAAGGGAGTCCGGGTGAAAAAATTTCACCTGGTCTACAACCCAACCATGAATTTGATGACCAAAGGCAACATATTTTGAATCCATGTCATCAGTAGCCTGTTGTAAAGTTAGGATATTTTTCTTCAAAGTGTCTACCTCTAGCTCCAGCTCAGCTACTCGGAGGTCAGAATCTTCAAAGTTCTTCGTCAAAATTTCGTGCTCGTCAGTCAACGCCTGATGGTCTTATTTGAGAGCAGTAAGTTCTTCATTCGTTTTCTTTCCTAAATCTTCAGTCTCTTTGAGTTTGATTTGGAGGCCTTGAGCAACAAACTCGGCGGCTTCAGCTTTTTGGACTAGGCGAGTTTGCTCCGTTTGAAAGTTGGTCTTCATCAGTTGTAAATCTTTCAGTTTAGTGAGAAGTTGTTGGCGTTCAGCTAGAGCCAGGAGTGTCATTTCATAATAGTGGGCTTCTCGGATAGAATGATCCCGAATGTCAGTAAATTTGGCAATGAGTTGGTTCAAAGAAAATTTATCCCATTTTTCGCGGAGCCCGGGAGTAAAGCAAGGTTTTAATTTGTTCTTAAAAAGGGGATCAGAAAAAGGGGTAGCAACAACAGAGGTAGGAGGAGTCAGAGACTTGTCAGTGGAAGGGTCAGGGCTAGCTTCATTAATTCGAACTCGTTTTTTACGACAAAGCTCGCCAGAATCAACTGGAATTTCCATGTCCATCTTAATAGTGTTACCAGGAATAAACCTGTAGCGGAAGTGGCCGGCATAGGAGAACGGGTAAGAGAAAGATCTTTCTTGCCAGAAACTGACGAGTGATCATGGCGCACGATTGGGTCGCCAGTAACAACCAAATCTTCCTTCCGAGCAGCCTTTTGTTTTTGGCGAGCGAAAAAAGTAGGATCCATGCACTTGTCTGAAAAGCACAAACACAGAAGAAAGCAGATGTAAGGTTAAATGGAGTGTATACATAAAAACGTAAGAGAATCATTTAAGGTACTTACTTAGCTTTCGGCAAACCCAGTCAGTAGAATCTTTATTATTTAAGATAGACCGAGGAATGATGGAAATATTTTCCTTGGATAGTTTAGAAGCAAGCCTTTTGAACCAAGTATAAGTTTCATATTCTTCAGTACTCAGATTCTTTAAGTTTGTTAAAAACGCTTTGGCAGAAGTCATGTAATGATGACGGTTCCAACTGAGAGGGAATCGAGGAACTCCGTCTTGATCCAGAAAGAAAGCAGAAGGAGGAGCAGATTGGGAAGAAGAAGAAGAGGCAGAAGGAGTAGCAGGAAGGGCCTCAGGTATACAAATTTTGAAATAGTCTTCTTTAAAATTTTTCCAGTTATCCTCGAATATAGTACACCAACGCAGCCTGGGACGAGCTTTTAAAGAAACCCAACTATGACGAGTACATCTTTTATCAATAACGTTCCGGAACACGACAAATAGACAGAAAAATACTCGAAAAGAGTAAGTGAATCCCAAAGATTGACAAATTATCTCGAAGGTATGTAAAAAACACCAGCTGTTAGGGTGTAGTTGAGAGGGAGCGACTTCCAGATGATTCAAGATGTCCATTTGGAACTCAGTGAAAGGTGGGGTTATTTTGAGCTCGGAAAATAAGCATTTATAGGAAAAAAAAGAAAGGGTCCTCACATTGGCTAGAAGGTGAGCAAATACGTTCCTCTTCTCCAGGTACAACAACTCGGAAAGAAGTGATAATGGAGTCATGGAATAGAGGTATTGATTGTAAGGCGGTGTGGAGCGTACTCGGATCGTTTTCATAAGAAGAACGAAGTCCTAGAGCTTCGTCATCAACCCATTCTAAACCGTCTACTATAGAAGGTATTGCAAACCGAGAAGGGGGAAGCGAACGGTAGGGGCGATTCCTCGCATGGCCTGGACGGAAAGGTACCAATAAAACCTAGTTTAGAAGATATATTGTAAGTTAAAAGGAATAGTAAAAAAATAAATGGTGTTATGATTTCTGATCCGTCCAGAACCTAAAAAGCCAGTTAAGGAACGCTAAAGAAGATGAAGATACACGTAACACACTGGTTCTTATGGGTATTGAAGCTATATTGTATAAAGAAAGTCTTTTTTAGGGGAAGAAGGTACGAAACAATTTAGCGAGTCATATACAAGGTGTGTCTCGATAACATTCGAAGATGCAAGTAGCAGTCTTTACAGTTAATAGTCAAGTATGCAAGAAATACGAAAGCAATGCATGTATCAAGAAGAAAGAACTTACTTGTACAATCTGAAGGAGAGTAGCAGTCAACGGTAACAGAGTCACAACAAAATTTACAGGGAAACTTCAAAGAATTAAGAAAGAACCAGAAATACAAAGGGAGAAAGGGAGGAAGATTCAGAGGAACGAAGACACGAAAGGACAAAGAGAGGAAAATGAGTAAATGAAGAACGGTTAGAGGCAAAAAGGTAATAAAGGAGGGAGGAAAAGCAAATGGCGTTTTGAATTTTGAAATGCAATGATTGACGTTAGGTCATGTCTGCTCAGATGTCAAGCCGTTTATAAGATCAAGGCAATAAGAAAATGACGGGTGGCAGTCAGAAGATGAATAGACAGAAAGCATTTAATGAGGGTATAGGTATATAATAATTAAGGGAAATCATAAGAAATAAGTTAAGAGTTAAACTCGGAGTAAAATGATCATAAAACTCCGAGCTTGGGGGCTTAAAGTTCCGGGTTTATATGCTCGGGTATCGTTAGCCAGAGAACTCGACTGAGTAAACCCGGAAGACTTTTACCCAAATAGCTGGTCAGTTACCCTATGTAAGGGTACTGGAGGTGGGGGCCTACCACGATTACACGATGGTATCCACCATCACCCACGTTCAGCATAACTACCTAAACCAGATATATATATATATATATATATATATATATATATATATATATATATATATATATATATATATATAGAACATTTATAGTTTAGGAAGAAGACACTGAGAATAAAGAGAACCAATATTGATGTTCATCCTGAACAGGTTGTAAGAGCACCAAGTATGTTGAATCTTGTGTTCCACCTTTGTCAATTAGGTACAATTTGATGGTTTAGAACACACTTTGATAAAATGGGATTAGTTAATAAAATAAAGGAGATGTCGTCGAATTTTCTAAGAAATGATCAGTTTTTAGGCCAACATTAGGAGACCATATTTCCCTCCATAGATGTCCAAATGAGACGTGCCATAACCATTTTTAAGCTTAAGATGTCAGCTATGTTTTCTCAAAATTTAGAGTCATTTAGAGTGGTATATCATTCTGTAGGTCGAAGGGAGTGAAGACTGCCCAAACTGGACCTGTGCAGGGGCTATCTCAGGTCCCTTCTTCAAAAAATTACATCTCCCTCATATCTTACTCAAATTAGGCTTATGACATATCAAATTAAAGATCAAGGTGTCTAGTATTCTGTGTAAAAATGTGAGAGCATTTGGTTGAGTAAAATGTTGGGAATCGCAAAAATGGTGAGAGATGTTTTGTGCTATGTTGAGAGTTGGTTAGCAGCTTTGCTTGTCTAACTTCAAACAGTTATAACTGGAGCTAGAGAATTCCAAATGAGGCGTGTGATATATTGTTGGAAAGGTGAAAAAGTCTAGTTTAACTTACTAAAATATAAGAAATTAATAAAGAGTAGATAACACCCAGGTGTGTGAAAACTGAAGGGGACTATATTTTAGGAAAGTGGTAAAAATGAGTTTGATGCTAAGTTGGTTTATGGGAACCTCTTAGGGGGCGTTTGGTAGAGGATATATTTTTTTTTACTAGGTAAATGCAATTACTAGTAATATGGTAGGAAAGTGAGTTAGATAGGAAAGTAAAAAAAACCTGTTTGGTTGGCAAAAATTTTACCAGAAAAATTGGATTAAATATTGTGAGTTTTTGTTTGGTTAATGGTGAAATAATAATGGGTAAATGTGTTGAAATACTGAAAACAACCCCTGATTTAATTTTTGAATCTGAAGATGGATTAAAACTCATCCGTGAGTAAGCGTCGACGGATAATAAACACACAAAAGTAAGACTATCTTGACCGACATTGAAAGACAAAAAATGGTAAAAGGCATTAGGCTCACTGTGACTTATGTCTACTGATATACATCACTCTCAAAACATATCCTTACTTTAATTTTCTTTTGCAGGGAGTTGCAAGCACTGATGGTACGTTTCTCAAACCACCAAACTGAGCAAGCAACTGGTATACACCACCAATCGAGGGTCAGTAGTCGAGGGTTAGAGGGGGTTAATATTCGAAGTTTCAGAGATGTACGTGTACAACAACCAAGGGTAATACGGTAACGCGCTCTTTAATCTTTTTTGGGTTGCCCAACTTTTTTTAGAAATACCACACTTACATTGGTCAAATGCTACAATGATTTCTCTACCGTTTTGCACATGATTGTTGAAGGATGGGGAAAGGAGAAGCACGAGACAATTTTTTATTATGCCTACCAAACAAAGGAATCCTTGAATGCCAATTATATCTGGATGGGGAACCAAATCAAAAGCCTTTACCAAACACCCCTTTAGAAACTTAAAATAAGTATTGTATGATAGTTAGACAATTATAATATTACTTTCGCGTTTAGATTTCAGTTGCGATCACAGTTGGTATCATTACGTTTCATAGTTGTTTTCAATTAGGAAAAAGTTTACTCGTATTTTTAAATAAACTGTTGTGATTGTAACTGCACTTAATATCATAATCAATGTTAACAACATCGGTGCACAATGGGCTGTTACACTTTTCGACACTCTCCGATATTCCGACATTCTTTGCCACTCCAACACGCATTGTAGAGACTCAAAAAAGGATTCAAAGGTTGTGTTGCGTTGCATTTTTAGTTCCAACTATTAGATTTGTTAGATTACGATTAATATTTTATTGAGTTTAATATAAATATTTAAGATATTTTATGTTTTTTTGCAAAGTTGATTGGTATTATAAGTTTAGCTTATTTTTTGTTAAATTATGGAATAATAAATGTAATATATACTACATAAATTAAAAATGTTATTTAATATCAAAACGTGTCCTAACGTGTCAAAATCTAATATTTTTTAGAATTAATGCATTGGAATATCGTGTCGTGTCGTATCCCGTATCAGCAGTGGCAGACCTAGGTTAGTGTCAATGTGTGCAAATGCACACACAATTTTTTTGAAAAAAAAGAATAAAATATATTTTAGGTCATTAACAAAAATTATAGGATCCAATTTAATCTCTTAAAAAATTGTTGACTCGTGATCCCTTTAAATTCCAAAATAAACTCATTTTAGTCCTTTTGAGGGATTAATGTGGGTCTTTTTGAATTTCAGGGGATCATGATTTTGATTATCTGGATCAATTTTTGAATTCTGAGGGATCACGAGTAGATTTTTTTTTCCTAAGAGATTAAATTAAGGCCCGTAATTTTTGTTGATGACCCAAAATGTTGTATTGTAACAGTTTAGTTGACTCTTGATTACTTTTTTTTTATATTAAATTAAAATTTTCTTTTTTTATATATTCTTTTGTATTTTAATATATTTAAAATTTTCTTTAATTTTTTTCTTTATTCTTTTATTGTAAATGTGCAGACATTAAATTTTTTTTCTAGGTCCGCTATTGCGTATCAGTGTCGGTGTAATATAGATGATGATAATAGCTTGCCAATGGCAAGACTAACTCTCAATTTTCCAACAAAGTTCCTAAAAAAAGACTAGCGGACTACATTCAAAATAAGAGATGTTTGATACTTGCTATCTTACTTTGTCTCATCGTAGGGATAACTTATCTTCTTGTGAATAGAATTAAACGAACCAACATGAAAAATTTATCATACAATATTGACTCATCAAATAATAAATAATAAGATAACATCCATAATTTATCATATTTTATCCTCCTTAACAAGTTACCCGTGAATCGGTAAACCGTTCATATAGCCAGTCCGGTTGAAGTAATGGACCGGCTATGCATTAGAACCGATGCGACCCGATCTGATCCGGCCGATTTTCATGAAAATCGGTGACTCGGTCGGTTAACCGGTGACCCGGCCTGATCTTAAAAAAAAAATTCCAATTTTTTTTCAAAAAAAAATCATAATGGATATATTTGAATATTTTTTTTGATTATTGACTGATATAAATTATGTACTTACAACACTAATATTATCTCACTTATGCATTATGCAGAAAATTTTGATTTGATTTATAGTTAGAGATGTCGTTTTATGGACCTACAGCCCCGTATCACGATCATATATTTTGTTTGATCCTTTATTGGATAATAATATGTGATTTATTATTTTTTATATTAAAATTTTTGAAATTTTTATATATTTAAGTATGTTTATAATTTGTTAATATAAATTATAAAATTGCATATAATAACCGGGTCATATGGTTGAACAGTGATTCACTGGTTGAATCAGTGACCTAGTACCTCGACTAGGTCAATGATCGAACCGATTTTAATAACATTGGTTATAACGAAGAACAAGAATATTAAAAATAGTTACATATATAAACAATAAATAAGATTTTTTTAGAATCAAATTAAAAATAAATATTTTAATGATGTATTGTATAAAACAAACATTTTTGGTGTTAACACTTTGAAACACTGTTCGCTGAATCCCAATTCCATAATTGCAAGACTGAAGGCTAAGCACTTAACTAAGCTTCGTAATTGGTCAAAACTCAAAACACTCTCTCTCTCTCTCTCTCTCTCTCTCTTACTTCCATTCCTGCACTCAAACCCTTGTTAAGCACTCGATTTCGGAAATAAAGCTCATCGCAAAGCACTTTATCTTCGTATTCGTAGGATCGGTTGGTTCGCTTTTGTTCTTATCATATATATATATATATATATATATCTTGGAAGTAGAATCCATTTTCCTGCATTTCCCGTGAAAATATCGTTTTAGGGTTCTAAGGAATTAAATTCCTCAATGATTATCTTTTGTGCTTCGATTATGATATTCTTTTCCGTAATGCTAATTATTGACTTAAATCAGATTGCATGATTTTCCTTTTTTTCTTTTCCTCCATTCAAGGATTCTGGAGCAGTCTGTGATCAATGAAAATGGATTTGGTGTCCGGTTACAAGGTAATTTTGTCCCTTATCTCTTCACTGTTTTGTTCTGTTGCCTCAGTATTTGTGCGGATGTGTAACTCGAATTAATGAAAATGATTGCATGAATTTTGTTTAATTCAACTATTATTCAGCCCATCTCTTACAATTATTGTTCGTCAACACTCCATTTGTAGATAAGATATAAAGCCACACTAATTTCTAAAATGATTCGATGTTGTTATTATTTTTTCTTTTTGGAAGATTTTAATACTGTTTTTTGTTGGAAAAAGAAGAATATTTTGTGTTGGTTTTAATACTAATATTTGGTTCTGCTTTCCCCTCAGTTAACTGTATAGTCTGTCCAAATTTATTTGTAAATTGCTAGTTTAATATATTAATCTCAGTGCTTTCATTTGGTTGTTAGTAACTTGAGGTTATACGCTAATTTTAATTTATCGGTGTTTGTGTTCATGTGTAAATTAATATCTTAATTATGGTGCAGGGGGTTGTTGGGCTTGTTTTTGGAAACGAGAATTCTTCAAATGAAGATAGGTAAAGTGGTTTTAATGTTCTTAAGATTCATTTCTATCGTTTGCTATGTTTTACACACCTCTGCCTGATTCTTTGGAAGCCTCCTATTCGACTTAGAACTGTAGTTTAAGATTTCCTTGAAGTATTATGTTATGTTCATTCCCAATCTTCATTTTTCCATCAGTTTTTAGTTTTATCCATTTCGTAACAGCTTCTGTGGTAGAATATAGGGTCCTGAAGAGTATTCTCCTTTTTGTTTTAAAAGGCTTTCTGGATTTAGTCATTTACCTGATTTTTATGCAAGTCTTCTATTTTATAGTTCTTCAAACTTCAAAGTCTTTAATATAATGAGTATGTATTACTGCATAAGTATTCTTTAAACAACCCATCTTATTCATTAGTTGGATGCAATGCTTCCTGAACCTTAATGGATTCATTAGGTATACCAATATTGATCTGCTGTGCCTCAAATAAATGAATGTTGCGGTGGTCAAAGTTCAGTTTGCTGAAACCTATGAGAAACACAATGCATGCTTTCTTTATTATGATAGTTATCCTAAAAATACTTTCCAATGATATTTCGTAAAAGATGTCTGACTTATTACATATTGGTGAAAGATTAAAGGAGAGCTGTATATTCTGATCTCTGGGTTATAACTTATAAGTCATTTGTTCTCACCTTTGTGCTTATTGCTGTGCACTTTGATCATGGTTTAGACGAGGTTCAATTGTTATCTAGCTATGTTTTTTGTCTTGAAAGTAACTTAATAGTATAAAATGTCCATATAGTGTTTGGTATAGATTTTAATTTTTAGCACTTATGAATGAGATGTTACTTCTTAATAATCTATATTAGCTTGGCCATGTATTTGGGGGCCATTTGTTATGTATTATAGGATAAGGCCAGAAGGTATAGGACCTGATAGTATAAACCCTTAATAAAATTTTAACAGTATGTAGTGTTTGGTGTGATATCGTATAAGATACTATATTTTATAAGGTAATAAGATCTTATGTTTGGTGATATACTATATGACATTAAATAGGATAAAATTATTTATTTATTTTTTTAAATACCCTTTACCTAAAAATATACTTTTTTTTAATATATATGAATAGAAAGCAAGAAAAAGACAAAATAAAAAGCACAAAACAAAGAGGGCAAAAGCTAGCCCATTCCCCCGCCTGGGATGACAAACGCCGACAGTGTCTTCCTGGAGAAGAAATATTAAAGGACGCGAAGGCTCCACAAATATAGATTCATCCGACATTGAAGCATCATTAAGGGGAAGAGTAGCAAGAAAATCAGCACAAAAGTTAGCCTCGCGGTAGGCATGAACAACCAAAATATGCCAATCCTGATCTAAAAGTGCTCGTATCCAAGTCAGTAAACGAGACTCGTGAGCTGTTGCACCCCATCTGGTGAGCAAGGCGACCACCAAAGTGGAGTCGCTTTCAAGAATCAATCGACGCCAGCCTCTATGCCAAGCAATAGTGAGACCATGCCAAACTCCCCAAAGCTCTGCTGAAAAAGCATTACAGATGCCAATACGGAAGGAAAATCCACCAAGTCAAGCACCTTGAAAATTCCTAAATAAACCACCACAAGCTGCAGCACTAGGAGCTCCCCTTGCAGCCCCTTCCGTGTTTAATTTGATATGACCAAAAGAAGGAAACTCCCATCGAACAAGCATATTCATAGGACGAACATCAGAATCAAAACTGTTCAATATGGCTGCACACTGACTAGTAATGCTAGATGAGGAATGTGGTAATGTAGGTGCAAACAAATGAGAATGAGCAATGATATTTCTCCAAAGCCAAACTTGATAAATATTAACAATAAAAAATGTAGACAAATTTGGAACCTGAAACTTATCCAAAAACCATAAGTCATGCAACCAAAAGAACAAGTCTACCGAGAAAAAATCATCCTGTTTGTCCAAAGGAACAAATTCACACCAAATCTCACGGATCACTGCACAATCCCGGAAAGCATGAAGTATCGATTCATCCTCAAGGTTACAGACACGACAAATTCTATTAACGTGGGACCAAGAAGCTATCCAATTATTAACTGGAATTTTACCATGGACTAACTTCCACATCAAGAGTTTCATATGGTGAGGGCCTCGCCATTTCCAGATTTTGGACCAACACCAATCATCCCAACCAAGGGGATCTAAGTCAGTAGCCCCACTTATCAGCAAATACAAAGTTTTAACAGATATCAATTCCCCCGAAGGTAAGGACCAATGTTTTTGATCAGGAGGATCCAGTGCAGTAGGGGGAAGAGCACTTCGAAAATAAGGAATCACATTCTAAGGTAACCAATTTTGCAGAATGTCAATTTGCCAATTCCTTGACTCAGAAACGTAATCAATTAACAACTTAGACAGTTCACTTACAGGGACAGACGAGGCCATAGCACCAAGAGAGATATCCTTGAATAGCCAGTGATCAGTCCAAAAATGAATATTTCTCCCATCTCCAATTCTCCATGCCATCTGGAGATTAAGTAGATCCCAAAGACGACAAAGATTACTCCAAAGGTGCGAGGACGCAGAAATAGGCGTGAAGGAGATAACATCATTATTACAGTATAGGGCGAAAAGAACCCTCCTCCAAAGTGATTGGTCCTCAGAGCAGAGGCGCCAAACCAACTTCCCTAAAAATGCATCATTCATCAAGGTCAATTTCCTTAGTCCCAGGCCACCTTTTTCTTTTGGACGTTGGAGAACATCCCAACCAATGGCATGTACTTAGCGATGCAAGGGAGAGTCACTCCAAATAAATGATCTACATAATTTTTCAATCTCCTAACAATACCAATTGGAAGCTTCCCATATTGCATATGAAAATACGGAATGGAAGCCATAACCGACCTTGCTAGAGTAATTCTCCCAGCTTGGGATAATGTGAGCCACTGCCAACTTCCAAGTTTGGAAGAAATTTTATCGATAATATGAACAAAATATTGTTTCGTAGCTCTACCATGAATCATCCAAGCCCCAAGGTAACGGCCAATATTTCTAGTACGCTTGAATCCACACATAGAGGTCGGATCATCCCTAAGATCTAAATTTATTCATCCCTAAAATTATACTTTATTCATCTAAATTTGTTTTAATTTTTGGAGAAATAAAAGTCCCTAAGATCTACAGAAAAATAGCCTCATAACCAATATGTACATTCAATGAAAAAAACTCAGATCTACATACAGTTATTAACAAAATTCTAATAAAAATCTAGATCCAATAACCAATGATAGATTTAGGGGGGTGTTACAAGATCCTTGGATCCTCATGATGGTCTAAATTCACATTTATATGTTTAAGGGTTATTTTTTTAAAAATATTCATATGCACTAATTTCTTTTAACTATCTATGCATTACTATATAATTAAGTTATGAAATTTAATTTTACTATTCTGCTTATGTTGTTTTTATTATGTATAATTGATCAATCTTAAAAAGAATATGTTAGGAAGCCGTTGCCTTAAGGGGCATCACAGGGGATCAAAATAATATCAGATTTGATATTAGATAAGATAAAAAGTTGTTAGGCAGTGGATTTTTAAAAGATTAGGCAGTAATTGGAGTTATCATGTAGTTAGGATTTGAAATTATCAAGTAGTTATATTGTAGGATAAGATAGTTATCTTGTAGGGGAAATTGTTATTTAAGGGAAGGGGGTTAGGGAAAAGATAAACAGAAAAGTTGAAAGAGGTTGTGGGAGAGATTAGAGCCTCTCGAAAGCTCTAAACTAGTTACCTTTTTATTTGTTTCCCTTTTCAGTTGTTGTGAAAGAATTGCCCTTTGGCCAAAAATGCATCCTTAGTTATTGTCATTGACTGGCTCAAGAATCATGTTATCATGGTTACCGTTGACCTATTGGGAAATTGGTATGGTGCACTTGCCGCCTACAATTTGTAGTGAGGAAGTTTTTAGGGTTGTAATGGGGAAGTATTTAGGTGAGCTTATATATAAAACACAATCAAGCCTAGTTACACCCTCAAGGCCTGTTAAGTTATCTATCATTTTAACATATAAAGAGGCATTTGTTGGATAAGCTTATACAATACAGTGCTCGCACCAAACAACTTATAAATTCATAATGAATTGTTTTGGTTTATCCTATCATGCATAATAAGGCGTGCCAAACATGCCTTTGATGTGTTAGTTGTTTTGCTTCATGAGGACTAGGAGTGCTAATAGTCTTCTATATCTGAACTATGAATGACTGAAGATGTGCGCATAGAAAATTTTTCTGCTACTCCTTGCTGTTGCCGCCTGTTGATCTATATCATATTTGTTGAAATTAATTTCATTACTTGTTGATTTCTGTCCGCTTGCACATCAAATATCCTTTGGTTTTTTTCTTTTTTTGGGAACAGTCTATCATTGCATACTACTTTTTAATTTAAAAGCAAGTGTCGTTATGTTTATTTTATTTTTTTCAATCATTCCAGTATAGGGATTTTATTTCATTTCTTTTAACAGCTTACTGTTTGATTTAACTTTTACATTTAATACATATGTGACATTGCCCAAATATGATGGAGTATCTTCTACTCATGACATATTTGATATGCCTGCTATTTGTCTCAATAGCTATGTTGAACGCTTGCTCGACCGGATAAGCAATGGTAAACTAGCAGAGGACAGAAGAAATGCTACTATTGAGCTTCAGGCTATTGTATCAGAAAGTCAAGCCGCCCAGTTAGCATTTGGGGCAATGGGTAGATTTCTTCTCTAAACAAGTCGTTGCCATTTTCTCCCGTCATATGTAATATTTTCAATACATCTTTGCAGGCTTTCCTATAATGCTAAGTGTCTTAAAGGAAGAACGTGATGATGTTGAGATGGTGACAACTTTCTTCCCTTTCATGTTTTCTTTCTAGTTCCTATTGTTGTTTTGTTTGCATTAATCAAGGTTCCATATAATCAGGTTCATTGTTTAATGTTGAAAATTTTAAAAACTTTGAAAGTGAATTGAGTGAGCCTTTTTATCAGCGGTTCAATTATTAGATTAGTAATTTAGTTCACCATGTCAAGCTTAATATACAGATAGCAAATTTTTTGAGCTTTGGATGTTCACCCCATAAGACTCTCACCATTTTGACGGAGTTTTTTTTGTTAATTGCAATCTTGACTATTAGACTATCAAAAAATTTCCTTTGGTTCTTGAAATCTTCAAGTTGAACATCCATCTATTTCTTCTAAATCCCATACTATCCTTTCTAAACATTCATATAATCCACTTTTAACTTCAAAATGAGCTCTAAATGAAGGATTATAATTTAATTGTGGGTTAAGGTAGTAGCCTGCAAACATCTTTCATTAATGACTTACCATATAGGCAAATAACTAAAGAATGGGAAAAAATTGAAATAGTTTTTAAACCAAAGACTAAAAATTTTCATCTAAACTAAACTCGATAATTTTCCTTTTGAATGCCATTGAAGGAAAAAACAATTTTCTCCTTAGCCCAATCAAAATGAAGCCCATGGTTGGCTTCTTGTCTGAATCAACCTTGTCCAAGCAAATCAATCAAATCATAATGTTTTTTCGAAACCCTTTGTCTGAATCAACCATGTTTGGTCAAAGGTTAAGTGCCCTTAAAACAAATCACGATCTTTTTCCTAAACCCCTTGTCCAAAACCACGTCTACAATAAACATCCCTGATGCACTTACAGTTGGCCCATTGCACATGGCCCAACTATTGATTCAGGAAGCCCAGAGTCAACCAGAGTCGTGGACCAATAAATATGGACCAATTGTTAAAAGAATCAGTAATTTGAAATATAACAAATTACAATCAAATCCAAGTCCAAATGAAGTATCAGATATGATTGCGATTTGTTTGACAAGAAAAGGAAAGCAACACATTTGACATGATTTGAGATATAAGATTTGGGACGTATTTTGAATGATTTAATTGTAATTATTTATTTATTTTTAGAGGTTAATTGTCATTATGATTATTTTAGGAATTTTCCTTATTTTTAGGATTTAAGATTTTTGAATTTTGAATCAATTTGTAATTAGTCTATAAAAGGTTCTTATGACCCTTATTTTAGGAGTTGAATTTTGTTATTTGATAATTAGAAATTGGGTTACTCTTTTGATAAAATTCCAACTTTCTGTTTAGCCACTTTTCTATGCGCTTTCGGCATCATTTGGTATCAGAGCACTAGGTTGCCTTCAACCAATGGCTGAACAGAATCGTAGAGGTCATCGATGGCGGAGTCGTGAAGATAAGGGACGTGGATTCGTTCCTAAAGGAGACAGACAATCGCGTCAGATAGACCCGCGTGACATAGAAAATGACGAGCTCGGAAGGCGGATCCAGGATTTGAAGCGACAACTTGAGCAAGCGTTAGATAAGAAAATCCAAGTTTTGGAGTGACTACTTGTGCAGACGCAGAGAAAGAGAATTCAAAATTTGGAGCAATGACTCATCCGAGTATGCATGAAAATCCAAATTTTGAAGCGAACTCTTGTGGAGGCACAGAGCATAGAAATCCAATATTTGGAGTGGCGACTTGCGTGGACAAAGTTGGGCATTCAATCCGAAGAAGGAATGGAATTAGAGGACGCATTCGATGACGAAGAAGAGGACGCCAATCCTTTGGGGATTCTAAACAAGGGATAGAATTGGAAAGTACGACCTGGAAATTAGTTCACTTTTAAAGATATCGAGATGCAAATCAACATTCCTGACTTTGAAGTTTATGATCATAATCCAGTTTATGATGATTATCCGATTTATGATAATAATCCAATTTATGATAATTATCTGATTTGTGATGATTATTCAATCTACGACGATTATTTAGCTTGTGATAAATCTAATGGGGGATTAGATGATGGAGATTTAATCGAGGAAGAATTGTCATTTCAGATTCTACCTAAAGAGATTGAGATCAGTGAAGAAAAAGAAGATTCGAGGACAAATCTTTTCCTAGCACGGGAGAATGATGCACTACAGTTGGCCCATTGCATATGACCCACTATTGATTCAGGAGGCCTAGAGTCAACTAGAATTGTGACCCATTAAATATGGATCAATTGTTAAAAGAAGCAGTAATTTGAAATATAACAAATTACAATCAAATCCAAGTCCAAATGAAGCATCAGATATGATTGCAAATTGTTTGACAAGAAAAGGAAAGCAACACATTTGGCATGATTTGAGATATAAGATTTGGGACGTATTTTGAATGATTTAATTGTAATTATTTATTTATTTTTAGAGGTTAATTGTCGTTATGTTTATTTTAGGAATTTTCCTTATTTTTAGGATTTTAGATTTTTGAATTTTGAATCAATTTGTAATTAGTCTATAAAAGGTTACTTATGACCCTTATTTTAGGAGTTGAACTTTGTTATTTGATAATTAGAAATTGAGAACCTGAGGGTTACTCTTTTGAGAAAATCCCAACTTTCTGTTTAGCCACTTTTCTATGCGCTTTTGGCATCAATCCATTCTTTGTCTTTGCAAACTGGTTATCTTCCATTCATTGGGGGTGAACATTCTTATCAATGCTCAGTTGTTCTCATGGAGGCACCCCAAAGTTAGGTAAGATATGGCAAAGTGAGTCATGACCGGTCTCACCAAATCTCTTCCTTTGGCGAAGTGTTGCGATAGAGAAATTAGAGAAGTCATCAAATAAACTCAGGTTTTGATTTTTTTCCCTTACGGAATTGAGCTGTGCAAAGCGTTCAATACAACCTCTTTCTTTTCTCCATCAACATCTCTACATCATCTTTGTAATTTGCTGCTTTGTTCGTCATCACTTGAGCAATATTTTCTTCACCAAACTCATCAACAACATCATTAATCATCTTAAAAAGTTTATCAGCAGTTTTGGATATGTCAGATGCATCAATATAATTCAAGTATAGATGGAAAGAAAGGGAGAAGACTGAATATCTAGATGATATCATGTGATATTAAGATTATTTCTCAATATATTTCATGATTTGTTTCTTTATTTTAGGAGCTCCCTATTTAGTATAAATAGAGATTAATGCTTTGCCTTTTGTATCACAACGATCACTTCATATCTCATCAATATCCACTATTATTTAGTCTTCTCCTCGTTTTCTCCATCTATGCCTAAATCCCTATAATTTCAACCATTGTATCTTGCCAAATTGGTATTATGCCCAAATTTTAAATTCTTCTGTCATATTTAAAGCAATTTCCTGACTCATTTAATATCTGAATTTTCTGTATTTGACTTGGGGCTTTCACACTTAAGTGCTGACTTGTTTAATTTTAAAATTTATTTGGATAGTTATTTAAGTCAGCGTTGCATGGGTTCTAAGATATTCTCTTCTGCACAGGTTGGCTTTGCCAATCATCAACTTGTTATGCTTTTTGTTTTCAAAATATCTCCCAAGTATGAGTTAAATAGCAATTTTATTCATGCAGGTTCGTGGTGCTCTGGAAACTCTTGTAAGTGCATTGACTCCTATTAATCATGCAAAAGGGCCGAGTAATGAAGTTCAGCCAGCTTTGATGAACACCGATTTGCTTTCCAGAGAAACAGAAAGTATCTCTCTTCTTCTAAGTTTGTTGGTAAGATTTTTTCACTTAAATAGTGAAAGTTATCCTCAATTACGTCACTCAAGGTTTCCATGGTTTGTAGGCTTTTGCATTTATCTAATAATATTTTCTTGGTAATTTTTCCGTGGGTGTATTTTCCCAGGCAGAGGATGATTTTTATGTACGATATTATACTCTGCAACTATTGACTGCCCTTGTCACTAATTCTCCACAGAGGTATTAGTTTTATGGCTTCCCTTTTGGTTCAATGCATGCAATTGATAAATAATCTTGCTTGGAAAGCACACTTGCTGAGTTCCTCTTCAGGTTACAGGAAGCTATATTGACCATTCCACGTGGTATAACTCGGCTAATGGACATGCTTATGGATCGTGAGGTACAAGACTTGAAAGCTCCATAGGATAACCTTTTTACATTTAATTGTTGATTATATATATATATGTGTATGTATGTATATATATATATAGAGAGAGAGAGAGGGCAGTTTGGAACAGGAAACGATTTACTCCTTCGCAATGCTAGTAGCTTATCCTCTTCTAAGATAAACCATAAGTCAATTTATTTTTCACTTCATTAAGTCTTGTTTTATTACTTCCCCAATTAAGTTTTGGTCGACCTTTTCTTTTCTTTATGTTATGCTCTCGACAACAAATTTGTATTCTTACCAGAGCATCTAGGGTCCTTGTCTTCGAAGAATATGCCCAAACCATCTCAATCCATGTTCTCTCTTGTATTTCTTTTAATTGAATATCTTAACTTCTTATTCTATCCATCCTTGTATGACCACACATTCACTTTAGCATCCTCATTTTTGGCTCCGGCACTCTCATTTTATGTTCATGATGCTTTTGTGCTGTTAGCCCCATATAGCATTCAGGGCTTTATTGCTGTTCCATAACTTTACTTAGCCCAAGAGGAATTTTAGGATCACATAAAAACCATGATGTACTGCATCATTTCATCCAATCTGCTTTGAATTAATGGCTTACATCCTTATCATTTTCTCCCCCGTTTTGCAATATTGATCCTAGATATCTAAATACATCTTTCTTGTTGTCCAACCATATTCACAGATTTTTGATCTCCTTCTCTTGTTGTAGTGAACTCACACTTCATGTATTCATAGATAAAACGTAACTTCTATTTAACGTAAATTCTTTAAATTCCAATGTATTTGCCCATATTTCTAATTTAGTGTTAACACCAGCCCTGTTCTCATCAACAAGAACAATATGTTTTTAAACTTTGGTACTTGTGTTTGTTCAAACTTTACTAATTATTTGGCGGCAATCTGATTGTTTAGAATCTTGAATGTTTACCATTAGAGATATTTCATATGTTTTGCTTATTGGCCCCCTTTGTGGGCAAAAGCTTGGAATCTGATAATTGTGTTTGACAATGCTGGTGCTTTGCTGCTATTGACACAGAGGAAATGATTAAGGTTTATCTTACAGGTAATAAGGAATGAGGCCTTGTTGCTTCTTACTCACCTGACCCGTGAAGCCGAGGTAACCTTTTTGGATCTAATGGTCAACCCTCACTTCTTCATTTTTTATTTTTTGGTTGTTCTTTTATTGGGTGCTAATTTTTTTTATAATCTAAATAATTCTTATGGTTGTAGGAGATTCAAAAGATTCTTGTCTTTGAAGGTGCATTTGAGAAAATTTTCAGTATTATAAAAGAGGAGGGAGGTTCAGATGGTGGCGTTGTTGTACAGGTGATTCGTGTTTTCCTTATGACAGTACTTCATTTAACATGCTTAAGTATGGTTATGAGCTACTTGATGTAAGATACATAATCCGTTATCCGTAAAGTTTTTATGGTCTAGATGGACCTTGCAAATTCTGAGCTGCCTGTGTTTATGGACCTATATATATATATACACACACACACACACACACACGTTAATTTCAAGTTATTCATAGATTCTAGACTCTACTTCTGTTGGTGTCCATTTATTTGTCATGAATCAATATGTACAAGCATGCTTATATTATATATATTTTATGCTTCCATTGCCTAGATTTATGTAGATTTGTATTATCTTGTCATCTTGTTTACACTATGTACTATGTAGTGAAAATTGCATTTTTATGATTGTTGACACAATGCTTTCATATCTAAATCTTATTTTGCAATTAGATTTTATGAGCATCGTAGGATTTAAAATATTTTTTCAGTCTAGATACCAACTCGTAAAATGGAATAAGGAAGAGGGCTCAGAACCCAAGGATAAGATGGTGGAAGCTAAAGGAGGAAAAACAGAGAGAGATCAAGGAAAGAATGTTGCATGAAAGAGCATGGGAGTTTGATGCAGGAGTAAATGAAATATAGAATGATCTGGCTATGTGTATTCAAAATATGGGAAGAAGGATGTTGGGAGAAAGCAAAGGAAATAAGGAAACATGGTGGTGGAATGGAGAGGTGCAGGAGACAATTAAACAGAAAAAGGAATGCTTTAGATCTTTGCATAAAAGTCCCAATGATGAGAACTTGCAAAAGTTTAGATTGGCGAGAAAAAATGCAAAGAAAGTAGTGCGAGAAGCTAGAGGCAAGGTTTTCGCTGATTTGTATAAAAATCTTGGGAGCAAGGATGGTGAAAAAGGAATATATAAATTTGCAAAAATGAGGGATAAGAAAAGTAAAGACTTTAGCCAAGTTAGATGCATCAAGGATGATAATCAAAAACTTTTGGTGAGAGATGAAGATGTAAATGAAAGATGGATGAACTACTTTAACAAGCTGTTTAATGGGGATAACGATAAAAGTGAGGTGGACTTGGAGGACGCTTATGATGATTTGAATAGAAGATTTGTGCGCAGAATCAATACACATGAAGTTAAGGAAGCTTTAAAGAAGATGAAAACCAATAAAGCCTTGGGACCCGATGGTGTCCCTAGTGAAGTGTGGAAAGGTCTGGGGGATGTGGCAATAAAATGGTTGACCAACCTTTTCAATAAGATTCTTCAGACAAATAAGATGCCTGATGCATGGAGGAAAAGTATGCTTGTGTCTATTTACAAAAACAACGGAGATATTCAGAATTGTTCTAACTATAGAGGCATTAAGCTAATGAGCCATACTATGAAGTTATGGGAGAGAGTTATTGAACATCGCTCGAGGAGAGAGACTAAGATTTATATAAATCAATTTGGGTTTATGCCAGGAAGATGTACCTTGGAAGCCTTTTGCTTGATGCGAAAATTAATGGGAAGATATCGAAAAAAGAAGAACTTACATATGGTGTTCATAGATCTTGAGAAAACATACGACATGGTCCCAAGAAAATTTTTATAGTGGATATGTGAAGGCAATCATGGATAGGTATGATGGGGCTACTACATGTGTGAAAGGTTGTAATGGAACATCAAGTTATTTTCCTATCACGGTAGGTGTACACCAAGGTTCGGCTCTAAGTCCTTATCTCTTTGCCTTAGTTATGGATGAACTAACAAAAAATATCCAAGAGGAAGTGCCATGGTGTATGCTTTTTGCAGATGATATTGTGTTTATTGATGAGACCAAAGACGGTGTTAATAGAAAACTTGAACTGTGGAGAAGCATGTTGGAATCTAAAGGATTCACGTTAAGCCAGAGCAAGACTGAGTATATAAAGTGAGTTTTCTTTGGTAAGAGATGTAGACCAAGATCCCATGCATCTAATTGGTCAAGAGGTACCTAAGAAAGTTGCTTTTAGATACCTGGGATCCATTTTGCAAAAAGGCGGAGAGATTGATGAGGATGTAAATCATAGAATCAGAGCAGGGTGGATGAAATGACGTAGTGCTTCTGGGTTGTGTGACTGCAAAATTCCCCTTAAACTAGAAGGAAAATTCTATAGAACAACAATAAGGCTTGCAATATTATATGGAGCTGAATGTTGGCTAACACATAGGCAACATGAACATAAAATGGGAGTAGCAGAGATGAGGATGTTAAGGTGGATGTGTGGTTAGACGAGGATGGATAAGATAAGAAATGAAGATATTCGACGTAAGGTAGGAGTATTACCGGTGGCTAAAAAGTTGAGAGAACATAGATTGAGGTGGTTTGGGTACGTAATGAGAAGGCCCCTGGATGCTCTCATAAGAACAAAAGTTTGTTACCAAGAGCTCGACAAAAAAAAAAGTAGAGGTGGACCCAAAGTTACTTGGGGGAAGGTAGTAAAACAAGACTTTTGGAGTGAAATATAGATTGGTGGACGGTGTGCCTTAGGACGGAATGGAGAAAAACTATTAGTATGGTGGAGAGTTAGACCCGTTGTTATTTCTATGTTCCAGATGTCTTTTTTTTAGTTCTTTTCCTCTTCATCTCCCCTTCTTCTTCTTTTCTCCTTCTTTTCCTTTATCTCTTTTCCCCTTCCCTATCTTCTTCTTCTTCTTCCTCTTTTATTTTTTTTATTTTTGTTTACACCCATTTTTTTTACTTTTATATTTATATGTATATTATTATTATTTTATTTTATTTTTATTTTTATCCTTTCATACCTTTCATTTGGATTCATCTACCACCGACCCCAATTAGTTTGGGATAAAGGTGTTGTTGATGTTGAGATACCAACTCATACTTTACTGTGCAGGACTGTCTTGAATTGTTAAACAACTTGCTTCGTACTAATGCGTCTAATCAGGTTTGTTGACTATGCTGTGTTTATTAAGTTCCCATCCTGGTATTGATTTCAACTATGTATGTTTTAGGTACTGCTAAGAGAGACTATAGGACTTGATTCATTGATATCAATTTTGAAGCTGAGAGGAAATGCTTACACTTTTACTCAACAAAAGGTTAGATGCTTTCATTTCTGTGACTTTAGTTTATGCTATTACTGAATCCATTTATCTAACTGTTTTGTCTTTGTTATAAACATCATACCAGTAGACAATCAATCTGCTCAGTGCGTTAGAAACCATTAACTTGTTAATAAAAGGAGGTTCTGAGGCTGATCCTGGGAAAGATATGAATAAGCAGGCAAATAAGACAACTCTAGTTCAGGTTTGTCAAAAACTTAGTTTTTCATGATGATTGCATAAAATATCAATCTGGTGATCTTATACTGTTACTTGATGGATTTGGTTGTAGAAAAAGGTATTGGATCATTTATTAATGTTAGGTGTTGAAAGCCAATGGACCCCTGTTGCTGTTCGCTGTGCGGTAAGATTGATTTCTTATGCCTACACTCTTATTGTATGCAAACTGAAAACAAGTCCAACAAGATGACTTAAAAAACTTAAATTGTATTACTACTCACCCCTCCTCCTCCCTCCCTGACATTGAAAGAATAGTTGGCTACTTTAGCTTTCCTGGTATTATTGAAACAGAACAAGTTGAACTTGAACATTTTTGCTTAAACTCAAATATTGTGCTAATTGATGATTCTTCTTGTCATTCTCCCTCATTTGATTTCTTTCCATATTGTAGTTAGAATTTGTTTGATGTGCATAACTGCATATATGATTTGATACTCAGTCACATGCTATATATAGAAAAATATACATATACTGATATACTAAGGCCTGGTAGTATTTGACAACATAGTTGTTAGTATTGTATGGTAAGCTGAAATTGGATATGTGTAATGTATTGGAGACTATCTTTTTTAGCAGAATGTCATATGGCTTGAGTATCAACTGACACATGCCTAGTGTCAGATATTTAAAGTCAGTTAAGACAAACTAGTAAGGACCAAAATTTCATCAAATCTTACCCGCTCAATAGTTGGCAAACAAAGACACTTTTTATTTTATTTTATTTTTCATTTTGCAGAAAAATCATGAAAATTAGTAAGGATGTAAACACTCACAACCCTCTGCTTTCCTGTGAACTGTCAACTAAACAGATTCTTAGGCTGTAGTGACTCTGACGGAGACCCATACTGTCATTTCTTAACTTTGATCAGACACATAAGAGTTGAGACCTGAATTAGTTCTACACTTTGCTTTGTTTCATGCAGTTTTAACTCTGAGAGTTGAGACTACATAGTTCTGCATCTCTATGAGTTACATGGATCTTTTTTGCTCTTATGTTAATCCTGAGATTCCATTAAAAAGGACTTAGATCTAGATGGCCTCTTTGAAGACCTATTTTTTTGTTTTTGGAGGATGTAAGGGAGTGGGAAAAGGCTTTTCTGTTAATCCAGGGATCATAAATTTCTTATGTTCTCTTCGATGCTCTTTTTTAAATTGAAGACTGTAGGTGTGAAGATGTGCGATGCAGTAATATGATCAGGAGGTCTATGTCTTCTCAGTTTTATGTGATACACATTAAATTTATTTTCTTATTCTATTATTTATGGCATGTTAACTTGTCAAGATTGAAAGAGTTATCAAGTAATATCTTTTCCATTCTTATGTTTTAAATGTATGTGTCGTAACGATACATATGCTTCAATGTCTATATTTTTTATTTATATGTTCAATTAATGGTGCACGTTCATACAGGATACCAACAACTATATTTTACAACGCTTGATTTTATTTTCATTGTTTAGTATTGAATTTACTGTCATTCCAGTTCTTTGAACTTTTCACAAATTATGATGCATTAATTTATTTACCTAAAAATGTAAACATTCTCTTTATATTTTTAATTTGCTGGTATAAAGCAAAAGAAATAGCTTTTTTTTTTTTCTTCATTACATTGTTATTTTCATTCTGTACAGTGTACACTGCAGCTGATATCTAGATATAGTTATATATCACTATTCTGTTTGTGTTAGAAATATATAAAACTATTAATGTAACCTCACCCAATACCTTAAGGTTTTGGGTTGAATTGGTTCTTTACATGATAACCTCATGTCCCGGGTTCGATCTTCACCACCCTCCACTTTCTGTTGTGGAATTTCTTAACGTAGGTAGGTGGGCCTGTGCATTATCCACCCTTCAAGCCTAGTGGGCTTTCGTGTGAGCGGGCGTGTTAGAAATATATAAAACCATTAATATAACCTCACCCAATACCTAGGTTTTGGGTTGAATTGATTTTTTCCAATTTGATGTTTTTGTAAGTCATGAGAAAGCACTACCTTGTAATTGGATGAAATTAGTTCGTCTTACTGACAACTTCGAGTGACATTTTTTCCCAACAAAGTCATCCCCTTGCCCATGGTTAGTTAAACTTGGGAATATTGATTTATGAAAATATATATGTATATATTGATTTATGAGAAGACCGGTAGCCGAGAAGATGAGAGAACGTAGATTGAGGTGGTTTGGGCACGTGATGAGAAGACCCATGGATGCTCCTGTAAGAACAGAAGTTTGTTATCAAGAGCTAAACACAAAAAAAGGCAGAGGTAGGCCGAAGCTTATTTGGGGGAAGGTAGTAAAACAAGATTTAATGGAGTGAGATATAGATTGACGGACAGTAAGTCTTAGAACGGAATGGAGAAAAGCTATTAGACCCGCTGTTATTCCTATGTTCAAGATGGTCTCTTTTTAGTCCTTTTCCCCTTCATTTCCCCCACTTCTTCTTGTCCCTTTCTTTTTTACTTTTATTTATTTATATATACATATATTTTTATTTTATTTTATTTTATTTTATTTTATTTTATTTTATTTTATTTATTTTTTATTTTATTTATTTTTTATTTTTTATTTTTCAACCGCTTTATATCTTTCATGTGGGTTCATCTACCACCGACCCCAATTAATTTGGGATAAAGGTGTTGTTGATGTTGATGTTGATGTATATATTGATTTATGAATATATATATATATATATATATAGGTTCTGAACTGCTTTATGCTTAGTTTGTTTGTAAGACCCTTTTCTATTCATGAAGAAGTATGAAGGTGCGCTTCAGTTATATGCTGCTAAACTTAAGTCCTTTGCTAGGCATTGGGGTGTATTGGGGATATGATTGCTGGAGATTCAAAGAATCGTGATGTTATTTCTAGCAAAGTTCTTGGAGAGGAGCCACAGGTCGAACTTGCTCTGAATTCCATACTTAGAATCATTTTGAGGACTTCTAGCATGCAAGAGTTCATTGCAGCTGATTATGTTTTCAAAAGCTTTTGTGAGGTTGGTAATGCTAATGCATGCTTCTTTCATGATTTAGTTCTTTAGAACATTCCTTGTTACCATATTTATTACAAAATTTAAATCAGAAAAATACCGATGGACAATCAATGCTGGCATCCACACTAATTCCACAGCCATATTCCATGAATCATGCACCCCTTGAGGAGGACGTCAATATGTCTTTTGGAAGGTTTGTTGTTTGTGCTTTAATGACTGCACTTATTTCTAATTTGTTGCTGCTGTTAGATTTTATATGGCAAATCCTTGTTCATGCGCATATCCTAAATTATGACATCTTCTGTTCAGATGCTATCTTCAATCGATTTTAAGATTATAAATTGTTTCTCTTTCAGCATGCTATTACATGGTCTTACTTTGGGTGAAAATGATGGTGATCTTGAGGTTTGTGATGCTTGTTTTATATTCATTCCAGATTTGTCTTGCAAGCTAATGCCAGCTGAAATGTTGGCAGCATTGCAAATAAACTTTGGCCTTTGATATTTGTACCTGTACAATACAAGTCTATTTTCACAATTGGTTAATTATTGTGTGATAACTATCTGGCTAACATTTTGTTGAAAACGTAGGTTTGTGGCAGAGCTGCTAGTGTTCTGTCGCATATATTGAAGGACAATCTCCATTGCAAGGAAAGGGTATGCATACAATTCCTCACCTCATTGTTTTCTTAACTTTGATCTATTAGCAGTTTTGCTGTAGCTAGGACTGAAGTCCATTGGGGAAAATTTTTTTAGGCTCAAGTCTTTTTAGTTTTATGACTAAAGGTTTGTTATAATAGAATCAATACACTCTTGGCATGTTTAGTTATATGAAAAGTATTCTAGTCTATAGTACTAAAAGGTTATTATTCGACATTGAAATTTGCTATCTATTTTACCTACAAATCCGAATTTTGTTTCTATCATAGCTGAACAGACGACAAAATAATCCTTTTGGGTCAACCACAAAGGCTCACATCTTGCTCCCCCTTCCGACTTTTAAGTATATTTTTTTTTGGTAGTAGTATTATTTAAATATAAATACAACTTTTAAGCATTATTTAAATATAACATTTTTAATTGGTTTACGTTCAGTTTTTAGATTTAAATGAGAGAAAATTATCATTCTATCACATCATATAAAAGGGCAACCCGTGTTATAAAGCTTCCACTATGCGTGGGGTACAAGGAAGGGTCAGAACCATTGTGTGGGTCTATAGAAGAAATCCTTGCCTTGCATTTGCAAAAGGTTGGTTACATGATTTGAACACGTGACCTGGTCACATGACAACAACACCAACCATTGTGCTAAGGTTCCCTTTTATTCTATCATATCATATAATGAAATAAAATTTGATTTTTGCTTTTGACCCACATTACTGGTGCCTTTTCTACTTGTAATCATTGTGGTTGGAAACAGTAACATACATAATTCAAGCAAACAATATAGGAAACTTTTTTTAAAAAAAATGAAACAAATAAATTGAATAATATGAAAAAAATTGATGATATCTTTGGCATGCAATAGATTTTTCTCTCTCCTTTTCCAACTTGTCATTAATAATTATATGGATATTTCGTGATGCTGTTGTGTATTTTTGTATTTCTTCAATGCTTTTAGCATTTTGTTTTTATAAATTAAGGAGCCAAAGGTCCTTTTCTTGCATGGGTAGTTAGGATTTTGCCTTCTACTATTATCATGTTAGGTTTTAATTTTGTTGCTGATTGCAGCCTATGTGGGAATACTAGAATTATTTTTAGTGTGCCCTCTCCTTTTGAGAAATCAAACTCTTAAACTTCTTGCGTCTACAGGATAGTTGTTGATCATTATTGTTATTAGATTAAGAAGGTTCAATGGAGGTAAAACACAAAAATGAGTTGGGACATTTAATGTAATCTACAAGATCTGTGAGATGTTCTTTATCTGATGAGGCGAATACTTTAGTGTGGGAGACTTCCCCAAGTGGAGCATGTTTGGCCCTGCCATTGGATGCTGGTGTTACTTGGTGAATGTATATCTATTCACTTGATACGTATGAATTTTTCATGTGCATACTTAATGCCTACGTGTTTTTCATCATATTTTTCTTTTATATTTTATAAAATTTGATATGTTCTTTTTCATTCGTTTAAAGGATTTAACCCAAATGCAGCAGATGATATTTTTCCATGATTCCTAACATAAATTATTCAAAGGTTTTCTTTTGTAAGTGAACTTTATGTATTTAAGATTCATATTTTGCAATATAATCTATATGTTCATAAATACGGCTTTACATTTTGTCTTTATGCAGTTAGTAATACCTGGTTACTACTTCGATCATTTTATACTTCTTTTGTATAGATTGTATGTTCAAATAAATATGTAATGGTAGTATTGACATTGATATTAAAGAAAGGAAAAACAGAAAATCTGGTTGTGTTCAGAAATCTTATGAGAAAAGTTACAGGTTTTACGAATTGAAATTGAGGCACCGGTACCATCTTTAGGAGCTCCCGAGCCACTAATGCATCGAATGGTGAAATATTTGGCTCTTGCCTCTTCTGTGAAAAACAAAGATGGAAAGTCTAGTTCATCGGCAAACTCATATGTGCAAGGAATTATCTTAAAATTACTGGTTACTTGGCTAGCAGATTGCCCGGATGCAGTGCACTGCTTCCTTGATGCTCGCCCCCATCTTACTTATCTTCTTGAACTTGTGTCAAATTCGTCGGCGACAGTGTGCATAAGGGGTTTGGCAGCTGTTGTGTTGGGTGAATGTGTGATCTATAATAAATCGAGTGATAGTGCAAAGGATGCATCTGCCATTGTTGATATGATGAGTCAGAAAGTTGGGCTTAGTTCATACTTTGTAAAGTTTGATGAGATGCAGAAAAGTTTTGTGTTTGCCAGCGTGGAGTCATCTCTGAATCATAAATCATTCACTCGATCTTCAGCAGCTAGCATGGCAGATATTGCAGATTTAGAAAACGATTTTTCTGAACAGAAAAATATGGATCATCCAATTCTCTCTTCAATCTTGGATTCTTATTTTGTGAATCTTGTCAAAGGACTGGAGGCAGATATCAGAGAACAGATTGTGGAGGTTTATAGTCATCCAAAAATCAAGGTGGCTGTGGTGCCAGCAGAATTAGAACAGAAGAGTGGTGAAAGTGATGGTGAGTACATAAAGCGACTGAAAGCTTTTCTTGAGAAGCAGTGCTCTGAGATACAGGTATCATATTTACCCATATGTTCCTCTTAAAATATTCTTCCGAGGATAATTCATGAATTTGTTTTAGGTTACCTGCCTTACTGTAATTAGGAATTTTCAGTTTGAATGTACTAGTCCACCTTCAAAATTAATCAGATCATTTAATTGTGTGCTTTCAACTGGCATTATCATTTCCTTAATGTCAGACTCTGGAGTTTTGGTTTAAATGGTATATGCATGATAAAAATATAAATGAAAAAACTTGTTAAGTGTATGCTACGATGTGCCATTTTCAATATCTTTATCAGGTTGTTGTAGCAAGTCAGGCTTGTTTCTGATGGTTCTCACATAGTTAATCCATTATAAAAAAATATTAACGAATTATTGAATAATAGCACCTTATTATATTACTAACTATTTGGACATTTTTATTATACCACTGTTGAAAGAAACCTGCCACAAAAATGTCATGGCTGGATGGGTTTACTGTGGTGGCACCATGGTAGCTGCCATAAGCAAGGAACATCGGCTATGGTGCCTGCCTGCGTCAAAATGTTGGAGAAAGTTGAGGTTTTTCTCATTTTCCCTCATCTTCATCCAATATCTTCACCACTCTAGAAAGATTTGTGTTTTTGGCAAATCTGTGTTCAAAAAATAAAATGATAAACCTGATTAGGCAGCGCTTACCTTTGCAAAAATCATATTTCTCAGCTGCTTTGCGTTCCTTCTCTCTCACACACTGGTAACTATCTTGCCTTATCTGTCGAGTGTCTTTCATCTATCCTTTTTTAAATTTCCTTTTCTGTTTCTGGCTTTTCTTGTGCCTTTCACTCTGTGTGTCTCTGTCTCTTTATGTTTTTTTTTGTTTCTTAGCTTGTTTCTCTTAGGTAGTCCACTGATCCATGTGCTAAAAAGTTTGTAATCAATCCATCCTTACGCAATTATCAGCAGTTGTGTTCATTCCCCTCCTTAAATTCGGTTATCTACTCTCTCTTTTTCCTCATATATTTTTATTTGAGTTTGTGATACTTTTGGCTAGTTTTATTTGCTAAAATGTTTTTATTATGTTTTGTTGTTCTTGATATAAGTTGTTAGGTTTTTCATTTATATTCTCCAGGTACTTTTTGTGTACATTTTTCTTTTTTTTAAAAATAACTTGGCCACCATGCTTCTGCCATAGACTGCCACACCATCTGGCATAAATCCATGGTGGATTTCTAGCTTGCCACCATAGGCTGCCATTCACCTTTGCCAAGCCTGGTTTATACCATGCCCGTGACAAAGAACCCTACACAAGAATACGAGTATGTTAGGGAGTCCGGACTGTACAAACATAACTATTATATGATTTGACAAGTCTTCATGATTTTTATTGATGCTTCATCATTTCAGGACCTCCTTGTTCGGAATGCTACTTTGGCTGAGGACCTTGCTAAGACAGGTGGAGGTAGTAATTTGCGATCTGAGCATAGAGTGAGTGGGAGTTCACAGAGAGTTCAAATCGAGACACTCAGTAGAGATCTCCAAGAAGCATCTCAAAGGTTGGAGATGCTGAAGACAGAAAAAGCCAGAGTTGAATCTGAGGCAATAATGTACCATAATTTAGCTGGAAAGATGGAAGCTGATCTAAGAAGTCTTTCTGATGCGTACAATAGTCTTGAGCAATCTAACATCCAACTGGAGAAGGAGGTGAAAGCACTGAAGAGTGGAGGGCCCTCAACATTCCCAGATGTGGAGGCAATAAAAGCTGAAGCAAAGGAAGAAGCTCAGAAGGAGAGTGAGGGCGAACTGAGTGATCTGCTTGTATGCCTAGGGCAAGAACAGAGCAAGGTGGATAGACTTAGTGCTAGATTGCTGGAGTTGGGGGAGGATGTTGACAAACTACTTGATGGCATTGGAGATGATGCTGGGAATGTTGATGATGGTGACGATGAGGAAGACACTGAATAATGTACCATCATCATCTAGCCTCTGCAGGCTTACTTTGTAGATTTCTTGTTAAATTGTACAGTCTAAACATAAGCTATGGAGAATGGGACAGAAACATGTTCCGGGGTTGATTTTAAATTATAACTTCATCTGGACCTCTTTGGTGTTGGTGTTTGTTACGCAATATTTGTTGATTAAATTGTCTCTCATAACTTTCTTTCTTTGTTCATCTTTCTTTTTTTTTTTTTTTTTTTTAAACCTGTCAAATTGGGAGAAAAAATATAGTGGCCTGTATTTCTATCCTGATTATGTTTCTTAATGATGTAACCGGATTATTTAAAATACACTAAGGCTGTATTTTAATGGTTCATTTCAAAATTTACTAGATTCTAAGATGCGCTGGTGCAATTCAGTTTTCATCATTTTCAAATAGTTATTAATATACTTGGAATTTCAATTTTTAATACAAAATTAAACACGAGGTGCTTACGCGCTGCATAACCAGTTTGTACCCCGCTAATCTACTGCAGAAAGCCTCCGCCACCACCATTTGCTATGGTCTTCATCCCTTTTATACCCAGTAAGATTGCCTTACCTCACTAAGGTACTTAGGTAAAACCAGATCTCCTCTTATAATCTTTTCTCCAAACACCATGTTTTTCTTTAGACAATAAAATTCAAAGGCAAAAGTAGATTTTTAAGTGAAGTCACCCCTTGGGATTAGATGGGTGGTTTTATGGTTGACGAAATCGCACTCTTATTCCTAGGTTCGTAATTTTATTAGCTTTTCCCTCTCTGATAACCCCGTTCATAAGGTATTGCAAAAATGGTTAGATCAGCAGGATCGCCACGTTTACTCGTAAGATTGGGCAATCCAGCCGATACTTAAACCAGTTTGAGAGCATATCTAGTCTTTACCCTATTTTTAAAACCTCATCCTTTTTTCCGTTCTCGTTCCTATCCTAGAAACCCTTCAAGTCATGGCATTATGTTTTCTGCTACTGTTGGTTCAAGACTTCACTCCCAACCGTTTGCTTCAGGTTTGTTCTATTCGTTCTCGTGTATGCTCTTTTAGTTTGTTTGTTTGTTCGTTCTTTGGGTTTCCATTTGCAAGGACAAAGGTTGAGAAAATTGAAAATGAAGTTATAGACAGGGAACATGAAAAAATAATATGATTTTCTTGAGAAGCACTAAACTTCTTATCAAAGTGCTTTGTTTGATCTATTCAAATGAAAAACCAGTCATGAAATTCATTTACGAAGAAATAGATTTGGCTAAAGAGAAAATTCAAAGTTCCTTGAACTGTATTCAGAGAAGGTAGGAGGATCTAAATTTGTAAACCAAGTAACCCCCATGCACATTTAAAATCAAAGAATAGGAATGAGGTCTAAGGAACCCAAATAGTACAAGAAATTGTGATTAACTAACCTTGCTAACAAGAAAAAAATGATTTAACTGTAGTCCAGATTACAATTGAGTACAGAAAAAAAGAGGAAAAAATTATCATAATCTCATCGACGCTTGTACAAACAAGGTTTAAGCATTGGCCATTCAATATCCTTCCTTTTATAATTTTGCTTTTCCTACACACAGAAGAGTAAGCTAAATCAGTGTTGGGGATCAAAACATTTGCTCCTAATATAATAAAAAGTGAAAAAAAATAAAAAATGGAAACACTCGGTGGAATTAGCTGCATACCTTTTTCGTTAAGTAAAACAAAATAAACATTTTATTTGAGAAGTCCTGCATGGAGTAGAGATCATTTAGCACAGTCCAACTGTTTATTGAGATAATAAAATGGAACATTTCCATACCTGCTTTACAGAGTTGAAACCTAGCTCAGAAATAGCCTTTGAAAACTTTTCTGGATCTGCTCCACCATTATTTGGATCAAACCTGCTCTTTACTTCTGCTATCAGAAGCCAGCCACTGTACAAAACAATACTAAGTCAGATCCTGAGTAGGGTCGCAATGTCCAGTCTATAAAAGCTTAAATCATGCATGGAAAAACAAACCCTGGCTTAAGCACTCTGTATGCTTCTTCAAGGTAACCTTGGTAGTTGGTTCCCATCAATGAAAGACAGAAGACAGCAACGTCAATAGATAAGGAGACAAGGGGAGCCTGCCAATAATTTACGTAATGAGCATGTTGTAAGTAATGATAATTATAAAACTTCAGCCAGGGCGTAACCCACCCACAAAAGCATTTCAGGTAGCCCTGTAATTTGAATAGAAGGAATTGAAGATGCTATTCTCATGCCAGACCAGTGGCATTAGTATTGTAATATGTTGATAATAATATCTTATTGTAATCTTTCTATTCTCAAAAATTTAGTGAGCATTTAATTTTTTTTCTTTTCCAGATACATGAAACAATACATCTTTATGAAATAAAGACCAGAATAGCAAAAACTGGTTTATTTCTTACATAATTGTTTGTGATGTATGAATGCAAGGGCGAGAAATGAGATTATTACTACCTAATGCTATAAAAATAACTTTTTAATGTGTATTCCTATTAGCCTTACAAGCAGGAGGACATACATTTGCCATGTCACAAGCAATTACTTTCGGATCATTGGAGACAAGATCCAGAGAGAATACAGTGTTCTTCACACTTTTAGCAATGAGGGCTTCCCCTGGAATGCAACAGAAATATGAAAGCATTAGCAGTAAACAAAAAAGCATGAGTGTCAGGTAAAAGTTGAAATTCACAATAAAATTAGAGTGAATTCTCACCACAACCAAAATCAGCAACAACAAAAGAAGGACTCTGTTCTTTCAGCCACTTAATAATTACATTAACCGGCTGTTCTGGCCAATTCGACATCTGCATTTTGTATCCTGCATGATACTAGCCAGATAAATCAAAGTCAAATTGAGACAAGTTAAACAAGATAAAAGAAGGGGAGATTTTTTTCAATGGAAATAACACCATTACCAAGTTAAATAATGCTGGTTCTTCCTGAAAATAATCTAGTGCGTCCTTCCCACTGAAAAGAAAGAGAAAGATCCTTAACTCTAGTCAAGATGAAAAAAATTACAAGAAAAATAAAAATTATTAAAAAGCAGTTTAGGACGTTAGGTCACTGGATCATTTAAACTAACCCATAACAACAAAATTAAAACCAAAAGCTGTTTAACTAGACCAGTAATCCCATTGGAATATCAACAAGCAAAGAATGATTAAAAAACATCCTTTCCCTCACTGCACAAATCGCATAAAAAGAAAGCCACGTACAATCTCCTCTAAATTCAAAATCCAGGTACCAGATAACAGTTAAAACGAAACTCGCAACTAAAGATTCATCTTACCAAGAATTTTAAAAAATAAAATGAAAAAACAATAACAAATAAAAACACAACAACAACAATAACAAAAATTGGAACAGTGAGTAGTACATTACGTGCAAGTGTAGAGCTTCTCGTTAATCATCCTGAAATGCCCACCAGACAACCTCGCTCGCATCTACAACCAATCCAACAAACCATTCTGATTAAACCTCAAAGAAATTCAAAATAACATTAACATAATAAACAAACAAATAAGGTTTGGAGGGTATGCCTTTTCCAGAAAGCTAGAGGGCTTTGAGGGCTTTTGTTCCTTCAACTTTCTGCGCTTAGCAGAACTTGAAGGAACCTCTTGCTTCTCGTAACTGTTGTTGTTGTTACTAGGCTTCAGCTTCTTCTTCGCCCCACGATTTCTGGGTTTCTTTCGTTTTTTGCTGTGAACCTCGCTCTTCGTCATTGCTACAATTCTGAATTAGGGCTTCCTGTGAAACTCTCCTTCGTCGTCGTCTTCTTTTCACTTTTTCTATTTCTATTGTGCAAAACTAACCATAAGAATTCGAGGGTGCGGCCTAGGGTTATTTTTTTGTTACGAGAAAATAAAAAAAAAACCGCGCTAAGTTTTTTTAGAGTAAACATCCTGTATAGTCCCTGACAATTTTCACGAAGGTCTTTTCAGTCCCTAACAATAAAAAAGGGACAAATTGATCTTTGAAATAACAAAAAAGGGGCCACGTTCGTCCTTCTGTCAACTCCATCGTGATGGCCCAACTAACGGTGCCCATGTGGCACGTTAGTGTGATGATGCGGCTTGGCACCTGCCACTGTGGAAGAGCAAACGACGACGTTTTCTTCCAAATGGGTACATAGCTTTCCAAAGTACCACACGACGTCGTTTCTTGGTTGAGAAAACTAAGCACCAACACTGGAAGTTACCGTAGTGAGTCATTTTTATTTCACTCAGCACCAAGGCCTTCCTCAAGAAAGTGATCTGTTGCTGTAGAAGAGCATGGGAGTAGTGCATCAGCAACTGACAAGGAGTGCATATAATGTGATTTTTTGTGTAAATTGTGGCCATTATGTTTTTGGAGGCCTTATATAGTCAATGTAATTTTTTGTGAATTCTGGCCATGTTGTATTTATTTGGCCTTACTTTTGATTCCTGTCAGCTGGCTTTCATTGGTAATGCACTACTGATAATGTGATCACTGAAGTATGTGTTTGGAAAAAAATATTTATGAAGTATGTGTTTGTTAACTGATAATGTGATCAGCCAAGTTTCCTATCTGATGTAATGCACAGGTTGATGAATGTTGCAGCTGTTATGTGGCAGGGTTGATGAATGTCCTATCTGATGTCCATTTTATGTTTTTTAACTGAGTTAGCTTGTTGTTGTTCGTAGACATGTATGATTTATCTGTTATGTACCTCTCTTTCTCTACAATATTGGATTGCACTTGTATTCTTCAATGATGTAGGTGATATTTTGCTCTGGTCAGGGACTAATAAGGGCCCCGTGCATTTTGTAAGGGACCAATATGGTCCTCGAGTGTTGACTGTAATGACTTGTTTTTGCTTCAAAATGTCTGTGTATACATTTGTGGATAAAGGGTGTGCTTAGGTACTATGTCATGCCAAAATAGAATTGTGCATTCCATTGGTTGGTCATTTAGCATTGCAGGTTTGTGCTGTGTTACTGGCAAAACCTTTTACCATTACACAGATCATGCCCAATTTTCTGGTTGCAGGGACCAATTAGGACCCTGACACTCATTGTCAGGGACCAAAACTGCCCTCGAGTACTTTTTCCAGGGACCTAAATGGCCCTCGTGTTTTGGCATGAGTACCAAATGTGCATAACAGTATGCAACTTCTGTATCAGCAATTTCATGATTTATGCATCTATATCTGTACATGGATGGTTTGTGATACAATGTAGCAAACTTTTGGCCTTCAATCCATGCCTAACTATGCAATATACCATACTAACACAAACTTAGCATCCAGTACTGCAGTTGTTGATACATAAATATATGATGCCAGAATATATAGAGGAATACATTCAAGGCTTTTTTATAATAGGCCATATGATACTACACACAAACAGATTCGAACCAACACAGAATTTGTATAACAACAGGAATGAGTACTCATTACACATTATTGAAGGAAAAATACATTGGGGTAACTTCTTTTGACTGTTACCACACTAATAAAAAACATACACATTGTAAAGAATCTTGGGATACACCACCCCAAAAGCTAACTAAAGAGGTGGGAGTGCCCAAGGCCTTATAAACTCCACATTAGTTACTCATACAATTAATGTGGGATTATATATCTCAACACGCCCCCTCACACAAGAGCCCTTTGGGCTTGAAGAATGGACAATGCAACAGGCCCAACCTACATGTGCTAAGAAACGCCACAAGAGAAAGTGGGGGGCAGCGAGACTCAGATACCATGTAAAGAACCTTGGGATACACCACCCCAAAAGCTAGCTCAAAGGGTGGGAGTGCCCAAGACCTTATAAACTTCACATTAGTGAATGCCTACCTGTGCTAAGAAACGCCACAAGAGAAAGTGGGGGGCGACAAGGCTTTGATACCATGTAAAGAACCTTGGGATACACACGAGAGCCCATTGGGCTTGAAGGGTGGACAATGCACAGGCCCAACTACCTGTGCGAAGAAAGAAATTCCACTGGAAAGAAAGTGGGGGGCGGCGAGATTTGAACCATGTTGAGATATATAGTCCCACATACCATGTAAAGAACCTTGGGATACACCACCCCAAAAGCTAGCTCAAGAGGTGGGAGTGCCCAAGGCCTTATAAACTCCACATTAGTTACTCATACAACCAATGTGAGACTATATATCTCAACACACATGATGAACACACCTACACAAACAACACCTAACACCCTAGCTGTCCTACCAACATTTCTAATTTGTTTGTCCATCTTATCTAACTCCTCCACCATCTTCAGGTATAAATCATTTAGTTTTCTTTCCTGCTCATTAAGCTTCATTCCTTGCTCAGTAATCTTCACATCTTGCTCTCTCATCATCATGTCCACATACCTCAACTTGAAATTAATTTCAGCAACATCCAACTCCACATTGTGAATTCTTGCTTCTTCCAGCTCCATGGGTTCATTACAGACGTCATCTACCCATCTAAAAAATCACAAAAGGGCTTCTTCTCCTTCCAAAAAAAACCCACAGTTAGCAACTGTTCCAACTCAATAAAGGGGCAAATTACACATTGATACCTTGAAATTAGGACACCCAAGGAAAGCCCGTTTGGGTTCCTCTCAGTTTTGGAGGTATAAACAATACTTTGTCTCCCACATTTGCACCTACGACCGGCGGTCCTTGTCATTGTTCTTCCCCCCATTGAAGTACTCCCACTAGATCCCCCCATGCCAGAAGAAACACTCATCTTCTCCCACGCCCAGCAAATACGGTTGATGTCCTCTACTGTCGTCGAGTTTCAATCATCAACGTCCAGAGATTTTGGTGGCGTATTGCTGTTTAGGGTTTTGCTCTTCGATTTGGACGATTTTTGTCTATTTAGGGTTTGATTGAAGGAATTTGGGGTATTTTCATATTTAGGGTTCATGACCAGAACAAGAAACGACGTCGTCCTCTCAATTTCACAAGTTGCAACTAGGGCTGGCAATATGGGCCAGGCCCGACGGGCCAACCCGTTTAACTCGCTCAAATTGGCGGGCTGGGTTATGAGTCCCAACCCATTAACCCGATGTAACCCGCCTCGTTTACAAATGGTTAAACGAGTTGATAGGAAAACGACCCGGGTTGGCCCGATGGGTTAAAAAAATAAAATTATTGAATGTTGAAATGAAAAATAAGAGAATCATTTGCCCTAAATCTAATTTTGCCATTTTGGAACGCAGTCGGCAGAGCGCAGAGGCGAAGCCAAAGTGAATGACGCTGGTGAAGGGAACGACGCTGGACAACCAGAGCTTGCAGCGTTTTGTTTCTACTTTTTATTTTTCTGAGCAACCGTACCATTCTTCTCACAACTACGAACCCTAGCAATTACTAGATATTCCCCTTTCCTAATTTCAGATCTCCATTTCATTTTCTTTGGTTCGTTCTCTCTCTCTTGCATTTCCTATTTATATCTTAGTACCATGATATTTTCTTTCCTGCCGAAGCTTCATTATCAGAATTTTGAGTTCCTGCAATTTCGTTGAGGATTGCTCTTACCTTGTTTGTCATGCCATTTTGATTTCATAGTTTTTGCTTCATTTTTCTCATTCCTTTATTTGTGTAGAATCCTCCTTCTGCTAATGGGATTATTTTTCTTGGCTCCATTTAGGTTTTTCTTGGTTCAACTCTCTCTTCTCAACCATATCCATCCGTGCGATTTGTGAGATATGAGTCTTCATCTTCGGTTCCCATTTCACTATTTCATTGCAACTCTCTCTAATTTCTTTCCTCACCGAAGACCAACATGTTGGTATGCACTTCTACCCATTTCTTTTTTTTGCTTTGTTATATAGAACAGAACACTAGGCTTTAGTTATATGAATTTCAAGATTTATTTTGCTTTGTGTGCGTGTTTTCTTTCTTACAGGGGAACAGAATACATGTAAGAATCAATTTTATTGAACCGGTTAAATTTTGCTTAATATCAAGGATCACACAGCAATCTGTAATCCACTAGACCCTTAAAAATTATCACGAAGTTAAAAGTAACTATAGTGCATTAAGAAGCCTGAAAATGCTATCATTTCATTGTATTTAGATATTCCCTAGTCTTCAGGAATAATATATATAGGCCAATGGATGCTCATCCAAAGCTTATCCTTCAACCTTTCATGTTCAAATACCGAATACATGTGAATATAAATTGGGAATTATAATTCTGGCTTAACCCATTTCGTATGAGTTGCTTTCTGTAATGAAGCTTATGCATGTGGTTATTTTAAAAACTTCTTCATCTTGTTATTATAATATATGCCTTTTCTTAATTTTCGTGGCTTCCTTTTATTAAAATATCATTTGGTTGAAATATGATTATGTTTGAACATGCCTAGTAGTTTAATGATATATATTGTCGTTGTTCTTTATAGTTGATTATAAATGGAGGTTAATGAACCTATTGATGTGGAAAGTTGTGAGAATCAAGAAGCTCAATCTGTTGTTGAATCCACAAAGAAGAAGGCAAAAACAGAAACTTCAGATTGTTGGAAGTTTTTTGCCAAGATAGGAGTAGCGGATGATGGAATTGAGAGGGCAAAATGTAATGGTTGTAATCAAGAATACAAAGTTGGTGGAAAAAATTATGGAACGTCGCATTTGAAACGCCACATTCTAAAGTGCAAGAATATTAAATTTGAAGATGTGGGTCAAATGATGATAGATATGCAAGGTAAATTGAAAAGTCAGAAAATAGATCAAATGGTATCACGTGAGATGTGTGCCCTTGCAATTATTGAACATGATTTGCCTTTCAATTTCGTTGAGTATGAAAGGATTAGGATGTGGAT